TTTTTTTTCAGTATCTTATTGAAAACATATTTAATTTTAATAATTCAGTGCTTGCCAATCACAAGTTACTTCCTTTTTTTACTTTTAATGAAAAAACAGATATCTTTATGGTATTGTTTGTCAACTATGTTACGGACAACTTAGCCAATGTGTAGAAATAACAATAAATCATAACAGGAAAAATCCTTCTTGTTTCATTAGACAAACAGTCCTTACATTTCATCACTTGAAACTGAGATAATGTTTCACCTATGCATACCTTAAAAAAAAAAACAAAAAAAACCTATGTCTTCACAGAACCGTCCACTTGGAGCAAATATTTTTCATCTGAAAATGTATTATATACAATATCCAGCTAAAAAAAGAAATGTTGAAATATTACAAGGTTGGAAAAATAAATCAATAATGTTTATTAGATTTTAAACAACAATTTTTTTGTTTTTTTTTGTGAAAATAGTTCATAAACAGTTGACCCTTTAAGTAACAGAATTGTAAAGTAACAGTATTGACAGAATTGTCCGATGGACTGTCAATTCTGTTACCGCATTGTCAGCATTGTTACTCTACCTTGGTAACAGAGTTTGACAGTAACAGAATTGACAATTTTCTTAATTTTTTTGCCAAAAACTCCACTTGCTAGCATAAACGAGCTAAGAGCACATGGCACTAATGAAATCGTGATTAAAATACTTTTAAATAACACAAAAGTGTGATCAATTAAAAAATCTGTTTTCCTTTTGATATTGTGGTAACAGATTTGACACTTTATAAAATAACTTTAAAATAATTAAAATATTTATTTATTGAGAGCACATAGACTTTTCAGTGCTTCAGATCTTAACAGTGAGGGAAAGTGACATAATTTCCTGTATTTTACATAGTTGTGGGAGATAATTCTAATTTAAAGGCCAAGTATGGTACGGTAACAGAGTTGACGCAAGATTTACGGACACACATTTTTATAAGAAAAAAGCTCTTTTTTTAAAATAATGTTGTAGAATTAGGTAAAAGACTCTTTAGGACTTTTATAAATAAAATTAATGAAATATTACCAAAAGAAAAGTACAATAAAATATTTTGATTACACAATGATACATCATTTAAAAAAATGCACCGACTAATTCGGACAACAAGAAATCATGATTTTCAGCTATTTAAGACACTTTTTGCAAAAAATATTATATTATGTACTGTAACATCTTGTAATTCATAACAATGAGTAACACAGTATTAAAATAATAAAAAATATAACCATTTGAAAAAAGCAGAAAAAAAATAATGACTTCGGGCAACAAATGTACCTGCAATTATAGAATCACTCATATATATATATATATACACACACACAATATCTCACATAAGTGAGTACACCCCTCACATTTTTGTAAATATTTCATTATATCTTTTCATGTGACAACACTGAAGAAATGACATTTTGCTACAATGTAAAAGTATGTAAAGTAGCGGGTGGGAAGAGACTCGTGTGTGTGTGTATGCGGGAGAATAAAACGATTCGTGGGACTTCCGCAAAATAGAAATGATCTAAACAAAGTGCCTAAAACATAATTTTTTTTATTTATCTGTTGCACAAAAGCAAAAAGAACAACTAATAGTTATTAACATTAAAATGATTGACATGCGCAAGCTAGGCAGAGTTTCTATTTATAACACGTGTTTAAAGGGTTGCGCAATGTAGCCAATCACAGACTCAGCTGTTGATTTCTGGAACGCAATGGCCAATCAGAGGTGATTAAGTTAGAATCTACTCACCG